CTGAAATTCCGACACATTTCAGATTTATCCATGGACAGTGGCAACCACGAATATCTCAGTCAGCGGCTGATAAAGTAATTGCAAGAATGTATAATTATTCCTTTTCTGATCAGGAACGATATTATCTCCGGCTATTACTTCTTCACGTCAAAGGGCCGACTTGCTTCAGAGATGTTAGAACTTATTAATATGAAAATATTATTTACACATCATTTCGAGAAGTTGCTCAAGCAAGGGGGCTACTTTTTGACGATCAAGAATGGGAAAGATGTTTTGATGAAGCAATTGGTTTCAAACTTTCTCGGCAATTACGACAGCTGTTTGCGTTAATTTGCGTGTTTTGTGAAGTAACTGATCCTTATGCTCTTTGGGAAAAATTTGCATCACATTTTATCGAAAACTTTACAAGATCCCGCCCTGAAATATTATCCAAACAGTTGGCTTTACAAGAAATTGATGAAACATTAAAACTCCACGGAAAGACACTTACAGATTTCGAACTTCCGGAGCCAGATATTGATAAAAATAGTATTTTCTTATCTGATCCCGTTTCTGACTATTAATAAGAGTTATTTACATAACCTAATTATTAACTATTGAATTTGATTGTTTTGTTAATTTGTCTTAGTTTATTTTGAATATTGATTTAAAATAAAAATAAATAATTTGTGTAAAAACATTTGCAGTTTTTATTTACCATATTTATTAAACACAACTAACGAAGCTATATGAATCTATATTTAATATTCTTTGAGAACCGATGACTACAGAAACATCTATGTCTACATTTTGCACCTAGAATTGTGTATTATGAGTCAAATTGCACCCGAGTGAAGCCGGGTTTTCATCTAGTTTGATAATATTACATCAATTCACAGGTTAGTTTCCATGTATAAAAATAACCTTCCTTATTTGATTTAGTATTAGTAAGGTCATATTATACACATTGTGTTTGTGATTGTGGAATGTCAAAAAGCTCTACGTAAGTATTTACTTACCGCGATGACGTCTTTCCTACAGTACCGTATTGTATGGCATATTCCATTGTTTTTATAGCCGTTAGCCCAGATTTCCACNCTTAGTTCGTAAAATCTGTTGTTTGATATCATGTTGATAGATGGCGGTTCACGGCTTCCCCCGCATGAATATTTACGAACGTCAAAAACAGTAGTTTGTCCAGCGCTGTAGATTTTAACCAATGACGATAGATTGCGCTTTTTAGACACGTCTTATTTATTTGTCACATATCGTCATAAATTATAGCCTATATGTTAATTTGGGTTATAAACAATAATACTGTAAAGTTTCAACAAAATCCGTTCAGTAGTTTTTGAGTGAAAGAGTAACAAACATCCAGCCAGACATCCAAACTTTCGCATTTATAATATTAGTAGGATTGTTATACGTCGCCACTAATGACAATATTTTTTTTCCCATTTATCCTCAGGAATAGACGGACTGCGGATACTATGCAGTATTCACGAATTACCTCAGCCTGTGCCTCAGTGATATCATGCGTTGCGCTTTTTTCAACAGTAGGATGCTCCACGACTACACAGCACTGTGCCATTCTTGAGCCTCATAAAGGACCATATAACGCGTGACGCAAAAGTATAGTCAGCGACTCAGTGCGGCCGGGCCTCCGAGATTAGGCATCAACCGGCTTAGTGCGCCGGCGGTAGCCAAAAGCTTAGGGGTGAGACGATTCAAGTGGCCGTCAAATGACCACTGACCAACTAACTACAATCCGAGGTACCTACCGCAAAGATTTTCCGACTGTAATATGTTGTGTATGTTCCCCCTACAACTAGGTGGGACCCTGCTGACAGAGCATTCCTATTAACTATTCTGTAACCACCTATTTATGGCAAATAAATTATTAGTATTATTCCTCTTTATAATATTAGTATACATACATAACTTGCTGATTAGTATACATACATAAATTCCAAATTTTCGTCATTCGTTTTCGTTTCATCGCTAAAAACAACTTAATTTTATTTTTCATTACGTCTGAAATAGAATTTGTTGTAAAAATAGACTTTAATGAAAAATAACAATAAAATATTTTAATTACCACGTGATCGCAAAATCTACCACCAAGATTATGCGGATACACTATAAAAGTCCAGCTACCTGTCAAAGATCAACGTACGCGTGACACATGTCAGCAGAGCACCGAGCGACGTGACCTCACTCTGGAACGCCTCGAGGCGGACTGAATTTGAACGATTCGTGCGCGGCGTTTTAAAGTACTTTTCAAATACTCATAGAAAAAAAATTACAATGAATTATTTAGTTTTGTTCTCTCATCTCCTAATCTTACAGCACAGACTCCAGCCAGGTCCTCACCGGTGGCATGGCGGTTCTGGTGAGGATGGTAGGGCTGGGGTAGATGGAACACTGCTTTGAGGTCCACCCTGACGTGATGCCCCAGAGACCGTCTTCTGCTACCACTGGAGCTCCGACATCGGGCTGTGGAAGAATTGTTGTCCCAATTATAAGTACACGAAGTTGTCCATTTAACACTATCCCAGACAGTAACCCAGACACAAAAGAAGTTTAAAGCTGAGTTGCACCACCTAACTTTAACCGTGACTATCGTTATAACGATAACCGGTGTATTTTGTATGGAGTTTGACAGATTTTTGACGTTTGTTATAGTCAAAGTAAGATGGTGCAACCCAGCCTAATTGATATAGCAGTTCACTTTCCAGTGTTGGTAAGGCAAAAATATTATGAGACATGTAAACGCAAAGGAAGCTTTAGGAAAAGGGCAAAGCTAAATTTCAATTTGACGATTTGTAAGTACGATTTAATAGTCAACAGACAACAACGACGACACATCTGTTTAAACGACTTGTCGTGTAGGGGAAGGTTAAAGGCACAATAATGTCAAAACCGCACTCAATGGTCCACTCCACGAGTGTACAAGAAAGGCTGCAATGCAAGGGAATGGCGACGGATTGTGAAGCTTGCCAACAAACCAGGTGTGACAACCACGACCGCTCTACCATGAGTGTAGCGACGAAAAAAAGAAGATACAATAAAGTTTTTGATTTCGACTTTGATGAGCACAGAAATACCAAGATGTATAGTCTTTTCTACATCTTCATGACAGGAATAAGTCGATCTTTTTCACCTAACTTGAATTTATTTCTACTCGTAGCATGGAAAAACTCATTCAAATGCACTCCAAAATCAAGTGCCAGTAAATATTATGCATTTACTGCGTTCTTTGCATTCAGGTAAAATTATTAACGGCAGTTAATCTTTAAATAAGACTTAAACAAGATAAGGCCGCTAAATATTATGCACTCATAACAAAGACTGCATAATAATAATAAACTGCAGTAATATTGTTAGCTATTAGCTGATGGGGCAGCAAGCTTCTGGAGTGGAGGCCACGTACCGGAAAGCGCAGCATAGGACGTTTCCCCACAAGGTGGATCGACGACCTCAAAAAGGTAGCAGGAAGGCGCTGGATGCAGGTCGTCTTTCTAATAAATATAGCAGATAATCATGGAAATCATTGGGACCTATGTTCAGCAGTGAACGTCCTGTGGCTGAAATGATGATGATGATGAGCAAGACTGATAGGCTGTATCATCTGCGTATTTTTTTATCCACAACGATGAAGCTCATGGCCTGCATATCACCTGATGAAAGTTGATAATCAGGCCGAAGGTGGAAGCGAGCTTCTACCTTCATCCCAACTGGTCATCTTCACTCCAGTCTCTAACGCTCTCGACATTAAGCTTGTGGCTGATAAAGAAGAAGATCCTCACCATACAAACACTATGGTGTGTAGCTATTGGCTTCAGGCACAAGCTGGTCTCATCCAGGACAGCACTTCTGGCCCGCATCATGGCAGCACAGGTCTTCCACGGAATCAGCTTCTGTTTTGACACCCTCATGCTCTGATACTTCACGCGCTCCTTAGCTGTGTGTGGAAGGACGTTGCCGTTCACCTGTGTCGAATAATATTGGTAGCTTCAGAAAAGATTGAGCCATGTCAAACGCCTCATCATTGGATCAATAAGGGCCGATTTTTGAATCGTCATATTTCCCAAACTAAAACTGTCAATGTGCCAATTTTATTTTCTTCTCATAAAAGTTAACTGACGATTCCAAAATCGGCACTGCTGACTGTAAAGTTGTGATCTCCTTTACAACCTACACGATAGAAGAAGATTCTGTTAAAGCCTAGCTTATTTGGTGTTGACTTGACACAGTTAATTTATAAGCGTAACCTGTCATATAATAATTTTCCAGCGCCAGAATGACATGTGTTCGGATTGGACATGGTTTTCTACACAATATTGATAAAAACAGACTTCATGATTTTAAAGGTAGACACGTAGAAATGGAGGACAGCTGGAAGAATCTGGACAATCCATATTAAGATAGGGAAAGAGAATCAGAAACATGAAATAGTTAAACTAATTTTACTCACAATTAACCTCGGCCAGTAAGTGGTCATGAACTTTGCGCTGACGACGCCTTGTTTAATCCTTGACAGCTGGATGGGCTTGATATAATCTGTATTGTTGACAGGTCGGGCCAGCTTGATGAGGGCCAGGTCAAATGATGGCTTCCCGAACTCGTAGGAGGGGTGGATTTCTACTCGTTTGATGGGTACAATAATCCCTCCTTTCTTGCAGTCCACGGAGCCTAGTCGGACTCGGAAGAGCTTGATTGCTTCTCTTACACTGTAAAAAAGAATAATATTTTTGTTCATCGTTAAGAACGTACATACCTCGTTACCTAACCTGGAACAATTCTACTTGCAAGCCGAAAGTTAGTGTTGAGAAAAGAAGTGCTAAATCTTAATTTTCATTTGTTGAAGTTAGATAATATCCAGGCTGTAGTCAATGGATGATTATCCTGATGTCATTTTCATAACATTAATGTGTCATTTTATCATTCTTATGGCTTTTTTTGTGGCCCACGTGGCAAAAAATATCTTACTAGGCAGGTATTCGTTATTTAAGTATCTTAAGAAACCGCCTGAAAGATTTCGATTTTAATGAGAGATTTCTGTAGACCCTGTATGTTCTAAAACTATTTCTTTTGTAGCACGTCATTAGAATCATAGAACTTACTGATAAAATACTCCTGCAGTAGTCAGCACAGACTGTGCATTGATCAGAGCACCTGACGCATAATGGGCTCCCTTCTTTTGTATCGACACGGAGTAGGGGTAGTTCACTAGAGTGCTTTTGCAGCGGTCTTCCTCGCTGCTAGAGCTGGTCTTCTTCTCTTCACAGTTATAATAATTCGACGTGATGTTCTCTACAAAAGGGAACATTAAATTTTGTTCAATGGTTACTTGGAAAGTAATAAAGAAGAATCGGAGAAAACTATTAATTACTATCAAAATATGCTATGCATTTTAAGCATGCATTTTACTAATTAGAACTTGATTGACTTCTCCATCTTAGATGAATAAGCTAATTTTATTTCTACCTAATATTTAATGGAGTATCCATTTAGCTAACCTAGCTAGGATTTTGTTATTAAATCGTTTTAAGATATCCACAATTAATCTATCATTTACCTAATGGCTCCATTGAAAAGGTCGTAGTTTCGATAGTTGTAGTTATTGTAACAGTCGTTGATTCATTTTCTGTTGCAGGCAATTCAGTAACAGTTACTTTATTAACACTAGTGCTCATTCCTTTCTCGTAATTATCATTGTTTTCTTTAGATTCACTATCGATCACTTCATTAATCTCTGTCAAGTCTCCACTTTCTTGACTCACATAATCATCTTTGTTAACATTTGAATTACGAGCTATAACTACTTTAGTGACACTTAGAACGAGAATTATTGCTATACTATACATTTTACAAAAAACTATAATAACATTATCATAAAACTAAAATGTCATGATCTACTACGTTAAACAATTGTACAAAACTGATTGGATTTTGCTGGATGCATGTGTTAAATACAATAGATGTTGATGGAAAAGATGAAATAAAAACTAAACCTTTTAATAGCATTGGCCATTGAAAATAAAAGATGATTCGAAGAACAATCGATAGCCATGATTGCGATTAGGCCTAAAAATGACAATTGATATGATTGCCCTGGGTTTTTCCTGACAAATTGCGTTTGGTTATAGTAGGTACTAGTTGCTTTTATTATGTTACATTGCAAGCCAATTTTACAAAAAATAGATTTGGCGGACCGACTTGTTGATACAAAACAACTACTTAGTAAGCAATATCTTCGTTCAGCAACTCTCGTAGTAAAGCCTTTGGATGAAATAATAAGTTGCCTTTTCTTCATAATCAAGACGTGCACGCTAAAGTGCTACAAAGTTTTAGCATACGTAGGTACTTTTTATTTTTCTTAGTTATGTACTAAGTAGGTACAAGTTACATGAGGCTTTTTCAAATTTCCTTCGCCAACTATGTTTGTTTTTAACTGTTCATGCATTGTTCTGGTTTTAACAATGTTACCTAACAAAGTAACTGTTTTGGAATCTAAGGGAAAACTACTGATTATACCTTTTACTAAAGTCAGTATTGCTAGATTTGTAAAATGAACAGACCCTTTCAGGATGATAGAGTGTAGTGTTGCGTTATATTTTCTAGTTTTTATTAGTTTTGTAATTAGGATAAATGTTCAAAGTGGTAGGTAATAGTTTTAGTAGCTATGAAAAATATTTTTGTCCCTAAATAGAACAAATTTTATTGCAAATAGCACCTAATTTGATCTACTTATAGAGCCAAAGTGATTATCTTCTTATGCTTGTAATAATATCATTTTTGTGTGGTATATTTTCATGTGGAATATAACTGAAGTCGTGTTTAGGTCAACAAATACATATGTAGAGATTTTACTCTAGATATTATGCCCCATCTTGGTATCGAACCTAGAAACTCTAAGTGAATGCTTACTTCAAAAGCATTTTTTTTTCTAAATCTAAATTGGGCTTTGAACCTAAATTACCGTAAGAATTAATTAAAAGCCGTTCTTCTGATCTTCACGATTGGCTATGGCAAGCGAGCCTAGAAATTATTAAAGTAGTTATTTTCTAATAATTACAGCAGCCACCACATTCAGAACTGAATTAGAATGTGAGTTCCCACCAAAGATGGAGGAAGACTTGACCCACGTCAGAAGAAAAAGACTGACCACCAAGAATGGACTCGTCTGCTTAGAAGACTATCCTTATACTGTATCCATCAGGCAAGTAATTTATTGGAAACCATCCACTTCAGTTGTCCTACCTCGTTAATGGGACAATTGGGAATTTGTTTTTCATTGACCTCAGTGCGAACCACGACGCTTAGCGTTGCGAGTGGCACAGATCATAATCAGAGAACCACACGGTGTGTTTTAACGGGGTGGATAGACCAGAGTTTGTATCTAAATTAGATTTATTTTTGGTAATCATAATTTGCCTACATTTTGAGACTTATAAAAACCATCGTCTGTTATCAGATTGCATGGAAAACACTGGTGTGGAGGCGCAATAGTGAGCAAGCTATGGATACTATCCGCTGCACAGTGTTTTGATTAGTAAGTTTCTTTTATATTTTCTTTTTACTTAATAAATAAGTCATCAGGTCATTTAGTGTCCAATGCAGGAGCACGAGCTTCTGCAACTAATTTTGCCAGGGGCAAATTCAAATTCAAATTCAAATTCAAAGATTTATTGCATAGAATAGGTATTTTACATATGAGGTCTTATAATATAATTTACACAGTGCTTACTATTCTGCTAACATTTTTAGCATGCAAAATGGTCATTAAAAAAGTCATTAATGTTGTAGATACAGCAGTCTATCAGCCAATTTTTGAGATTTCGTATCATTGCATTAGTTGACCCCGTCTTAAATATCTCTGGGATTTTATTATAAATTTTTATGCACATACTGTAGCAGCTTAAATGGACGACTTAGTCTATACTCCTCGCGCGCTGGGTAGTCGGGTGGAGAAGCCATGTTTTCGCATGTTTATTTTTCTTTTCGACGATGTTTATGACATCCATGAGAAGAATAGTTAATTTTTTAACGCATTCAAGATCTACCTGCATGTAAAGGATCTCGGATTTTGTAACTTTAACCCTCTGATTTTGTAACAGTGTAACAAAAGAGGAGGTGTCGGTTCGAGTGGGCTCGGTCTTCCGAGACTTCGGAGGCAGGATCCTCGCGGTGACTGACATCAGGAGGCACCCGGAGTACAAGATGGACCAGTACTACCCTGAACATAACCTGGCCATGATAAAGGTATGATCAAACATTTGAGACAAATAAAGTTACTATCTATCTATTTATTTGTCATGAATTGTTTCTAATTTTCTACGTTAGAGCTACCAGACTTACTTTACTGCAAGATAATGTCCTTCAGCCTCGGCATAGAACAGTCAAAAAGTTTGAAAAGACTCTGAAAAATAACTAGATTTCTAGAAGGTCCAATTTAGATGTCTAAGATGACAGGCTTCCCAAGAGGGTTGTGCTTGTGACGTTTGTCGTTAAAGTTTTTGATATGCACTTGCACATGCAAGTAGCTATTGGAGTACTCCATTTTCGAGGCTATTTACCGTTGGTTGGTATTACAGATCAATCTACCCATCACGCCTTCTACTCGGATGCAGCCGGTGGGGCTCGCTATAGCTGATGCTGACCTGCCTCCCATGTTTGGAGAGACTGTCGTCACAGGCTATGGTTCAGTGGTAAGCTACTGAAATGGTGTTCTTGACTGTTCAACATCTTTATCTATTTTTTTTAAAGATTATTAGCAATTTGTATTGCCCAACTTACTAATAGTCCCGTTAGCCCCTCGTTTTAAGCTAAATAAGCTTGTGTTACGAGTGGGCTCACCACAATAGTCGAGCGGCGCGGTGGGATTCGAACCCGCGTTCCTCGGATCTCAAGTCGGCCACTCCGACCCCTTCAACGTTCGGCTATCGTGGCTACAAACTAGATCGATTGAACATAGACCTTTATCAAAATTAAATGTAATTTACCTATTATAATTCACCAATCATAGGTTTGTTATTTCCAGTCCTTTTTCAGGTAGGAAGCTTTTTCTTTCTCGTTGTCTCCCTAGGCCATCAGGCCATGGACGGTGTCGGCCAAATGCTTCATTTGTCTCTGGGAAATTGGACGGGGTCATGTTCCTGTAGTGAAAACTAAATGACCTGATGATGATGATGATGATGATGATGATGATGATGATGATGATGATGATGATGATGATGATGATGATGATGATGATGATGATGATGATGATGATGATGATGATGATGATGATGACGATGACGATGATGATGATGATGATGACGATAATGATGATGATGATGATGATGATGATGATGATGATGATGACGATGATGGCGATGATGATGAAGATGATGATGATGATGACGATGACGATGATGGCGATGATGATGAAGATGATGATGATGATGATGATGATGATGATGATGTTGTTGTCTAGGTAACCGGCCAAATCCGAGAGGGTGAGAACCAAGAGCTCCGGCGGATGATAGCACGGGAAGTCCCGAGGGCGGAGTGCCGCCTGGTGTACGGGAATGACTACAGCTTGCAGCACGACCACATGTGCCTGCAGAGCGTCGTGAAGGGAGTCGCTTTGTGCGCTGTGAGTGTCTATCTTCTTCTTCTAAATCATTTCGCTCATGGCAAAGCGGTCGTGGTCACGTTGAGGCATTCACGTCAGCTGCAAAGGCGAGTACAGCTCTCAGCACGATCTCCCGCCATCTCTCGCTATTGCCTGGTGCAGTTAAATACGTGGTTTCCCACTGCCGATTTCTTGGTCAGTTCAGCTCACTTGGTCGCTTTAAGGAGTTGTCATCCCGCCTTGAAACACGTCTATATGTGAGTATCTATGCTTGCATTATACAGAGCTGAAGATTTTGTTTGGTTGAACGCGCTAATCTCAGGAGCTACTGGTAACCAAGAGCACCGGCGCATGATAGCATGCGGCCGGCTGGTTTACGGGAATGATTAAAGCTTGCAGCACGACCATATGTGCCTGCAGAGCGTCGTGAAGGGAGTCGCTTTGTGCGCTGTGAGTAGCTTTTTGTCGGGGAAAAATTATACTGCATACCGATCCTGCGGGGACAGGGTAGGTTGTGGGACTTGCCAAATCAGAAGGACAAGGCATACCCACTAAAAATTCTCGGTGCTCCGTCATTCGCCTTAAGTGGGAAGGGACTGTAGGATTCCGGTCAAAGCCTACCACATTCACACAGTTGGAATTGTGTTTATCATAGGGCTTTTTTAACTTTTTCTCATTAACTTACCCTATTCTGTGCTATGAACTGAATGGGAATTTGTGGAAGAAAAGTTTATAGGACAAGTCAATAGGATTAATTAGAGGAAAATCAAAAAACTGCACACTATGAATAAAAAGCCTTTAACTCACGATCGAAAACATGAGACGACAATAGACCAAAGACATGGACGCTGGTTCGATGCCCGTTCTACCGCTGAATTGCATTGTGTGTGATTTGCTCCTATCCGCAGAGACCTAATAAAGATTTTTACAAAGTCAAAGTCAAAATTTCTTTATTTGTTTAGACTAATAAATAGTTCTTACAAATCGTCATTGCTCTTAAGGAGTCTCTACATGTCTCATAATCTTTTTACCCTACCAGCGCTTCGAGACCAACATTTGGCAAGTGCTGAGAAGAAGCGCCGCAACAAACTCAGTCACCACTGTCTGCCGGTTAATATAAATAAATAGAAATAGTAGTAGTAGGTACATTCGATTCAGGAGCAGTTCACTGAATTTACCATGCATTCTTGTGTGGTGTATCTTATAAGAATGGGTATACAAGATTGCGAGGTATATTAAACAAGGTAGTGACGTGCTAATATCTAGACTTACATTACATAATTGACTGATATAATTTTCTTTGCAGGGTGACACGGGAGATCCAGCAGTTCACTTTAGCGGCTTAAACAGGGCTGGGACGTTATACGGCATAGCACTCTTCTCAGGCACGGAGGAATGTGCTTACAAATCTAAACCTGGAATATATGCTAAGGTAACATACCTACTTAAAATTTTACGTAAGTTTAATATTAATATTAATATTAATGTTCAGTCAAGAATAAGAGATGCACTATTGACTCTAATAATGCTGATAATGAATGTGTCGTTTATTGCTTTGTTGCCCATTTTCTCAGTCAGTCAGTCAACGTAAGTGGCCAAACTATTATGTAACTGTTTTACCATTTATTTCTTCAGGAAATCAACGGCGATACATTTTATTGCCAGTTACATAACAGTATCTACCTACTTAATAGTACCTAACTTAATTTTAAACAGCTAATTACGGATTTCCATAGATTACACAATAATGAGTAAAACGGGGTTTAAAATAAACAATGAATTAAAAATGAATAATACCCAGTTTTTAACGTGTTATGCAAAAGTTTTAAGGAACATGATGAAAAAACTCTTTTAAACGAAATATCTGATGATGATGATTAGAGATAATATTGAAGTCTTGTTAGTTACTCAGTTACAACAACATATTTTTTTATTTTCAGGTGTCTTACAGCCGCCAATGGATCGACAAACTAATCGGGGAAACCCCGGACCGTACGGAGAGCGCTGACAGTGGAGAAAACGCCATCCCATTGGATATGGAATAATAATTTATTCGTTATTTTATGCTAACAACTATTTAATAAACTTTAAAACAAAAAAACAGAGTATTTGAGAGATATACCACTCAATTTTGGAAAGATTTGGCTAGAATACGAATCTGGGCTAAGTTATTAGGATAAATCAGTTTTTTTACAGTGAAATTTCCGAAGCAGATAAACCAAAATATAGTAGGTTTGCTTTTAGAGGTTACCCTTCTGAAGTTATTGCATTACAATAATTTTCTACAAACCAACAAATTTTTATTTGACGTGCGAGTGGGATGTTACAAGAACAACACAAACTTAATTACTTTAGCACCACTATAATGATGAAAATGTGTTGACCAATTACTTTAATAGAAAACCTATCGTCACATAATTAATGATCTTTTAGTCGATCAGCATTATTAGAAACATTGCTTTTAGTAGAAAAGTAATTTCGCGACAGTTTTCATGTTGAATTCTACTAGCTAGTGTGGCTTCATAGAAAGATGAGAACATAATTTTCTAAAGATGAATCCATCAGTNGATGAGAAATAGCCACCTAAAAGAATACTTCAAGATCCCCCAGTGGATTACATAGGCTCCGATTTTCAAGGGCTTCTTTTTCCAATCACGGCTTTACAGAAGATTTTTATGTTGTCAAAATTTCGTTTTCATCAGAATATTATTTCATCTAACTCCACTACTTATACTATTGTGTCTTTTATTTTCTTGTTTTCGTATATTGTGTTATACTTAATTGACATACAAAACTCCATGCCTTTCGTAATCTTGATCAATAATCAATTGGTGTTTACAGTAATTTCGAACATAACGTTGCAAGTAATGGGAATCGTTTTAATCTTTTTCGTAAATTTACTTCATGATGTCAATAACAATCATGTTATTATTATCAAGAAAGTGCATTATGCGTACAGAATTATAAACTGCATAAGTTATATTTAATGATTAAACGAACTTCAAAAGTGAAGTTNGGACAAAGCACGAGCATAATAGTATGAATTCTTTTAAACTGTGCAACTGGATATACGTTTTCGTTATTTATTTATCTAATATTTTTATACCAAGTATAAATTATTTGGCTGTAAATGATACGTCTACTGATACCACGATATTATTGTACATGGCATCTCTCTCTTATTTTGATATGAATATGCTTTATGCGATCAGAATTCTAAATTTAATGAGGATTGGACTAGCCGAGTGGATTCTGGAAGTTAGATTTTACGCAAAGTTGAATGTAATGTTTAGTGACTATGAGATCGGTGTCAATAGTTTTCTCCTATGGGAAAAGTTACAAGATGCGTATATGAATATTGTCGAAGCATTTAGTATTTTTGAAAAGGTTTTGGAAGTGCCGGTAAGGATCAACAAGTTTGTAACCAAATTAATTAGAATTAATAGAGTATGACAGTGTTATTATGTTGATTGCAGGTTTTCTACCAAGCCTTTGAGTTATTTGTGCATGTCTTAATACATGTTCAAGTGTTTATAGAAGTTCATAAAGCAAAAGTCTTGAATAATTACGTAAGTATACCACATTCACTATGATCAGACTCAATATGCCGCGTTTGACCTCCGACTAGTAATAAATATAGACTGGTAGTTGTTCAGGGCATCTTTCTGGGTCCCAATCAGTAAATATTGCTGCTTCATCATACCAAACTTTATTTTTACCTTATTTTTCTCAGGTGACTGGTATTTCTCCAAAACTGGTGGTATTCGGGTGGCAGTTAAAGAATTTCATCATACTCAGCGTTTTATGCTACTCGTGTCATAATTTCTATAAAACAATAAACCATGCTGACACTGTCTGTGTTGACATACTAAGGAATAAACATCGTACAGGTAAAGCAAAATACTCTACCTACCTTCATTGGGATGATCACAACAGAAAAAAATCGCCAATACATCGCCTGACTTATTAAAGAAAATAATGCGCTGTTTTTGTGGGACATTTTTGATTTAAATCTACGTAGTTGAGATTCACAATCACAATATCTTCTTTGATATAATAATCCTGTGTAAACCTTCTTCCGAATTTCGTAAAGTAAGCAACAAATAAGCAAAGCTCGATACACAGAATTGCAAAGTAAATCTTTGGCATTAGAATCTTTACGTGGCTTGCTTAAAATTGTTTTACATTTTTATTGTTTCAGTGGTAACGAAAAGGGTATGCAAAAATGTGCGTCGATGCAACCGGTCGTTTTTCCGGCGGGTAACCGCGTGCGGTGCATTCACGCTTGACGCTACTCTACCCCTGAAACTGGCTGGTTTGATTACCACCTACACTATTGTGTTGCTACAATTTGCTCTATTCTGAAGTCTCTAGAAAACAGCGTATATGATAATTTCCCACTAAAAACCAGCTTCTCGGCATGACGTTTGTGTCATGTCGCGATTTTTGCTGAGCGGGCGCCTGTTCAGCATAATATGTTTTTATTTATTTTTTATGTTTACTCTTGCTTTGTAGGTATACCTCAAATTGTGCTGAATTAAGACATTCTTATTCTTATTCTTATAATTCGATGACTGCACGTTATTTTTCAAAAGCTTTGCTTAATTACTGGCACGAAGCCCATATTTCGCCATCCGTTATAGGTAATTAAGAATGGAAATAAAAAAGTTTTAAAATATTACTATCTTTGTTTATTTTACCTACTTATATTACATATTGAGATTAAATCACGAGTTTTATAAAACTAATAATCTATATTTTGCTAATACAATAAACTTATTTCAATAATCAGACGCGTGTTTTCTCTGTCTCCAAGTTTTTCGAGTTGTCTGACGCTGCTCTCTCTTTCGTCGTCATCAAAGAGTCATATATCTCTGATAGCCTTTTATTCTTTGTCTCTGGAATGACAAAGAGCACATAGGCTGATGCTAGAATGCAGATGAAGCCGAAGAAGTAGAAAGACACGTGGACGCCCACAGCATTTGCTAGAGGCTTGAAGAAGAGCATTTGGAAGAAGTCAATGACTGATGATGAGGCCATTGTGACTGCCATCACTGTTCCGCGATACTGGAAAAGAAATAGTGCGATAAGAATGCCATCAACATAGAGTTGCTACCGTCACATGTACTATTAGGGGAATAATTATAAAAAAAACTAGGTACTTTGCTTTGTTATTTACCATCTGGTATTTGCTGTAGCAATTCAGTATTTATTCTATTAGAAAATTAATTAATGTCGGATCATCACGTTGTCCTAAATAGGTGAATCAATCATTTAATTGCTAAGCCTAATGGGTAACATGGTGTACTGGATAATATGATAACCACATCTTGTAAACATTCATGAAATGCAATAAACACATTTTGACTTTGACCAAGTGCTCATCGCCTGTACAGGGAATTAGCCAAGCGGCTGATTGACTGTACAGGTGATAGAAGAGCTGGCGCATTTCTTGGCCAACGAATCAGTTTGGCCATTCAGCGTGGAAATGCAGCCAGCATTCTGGGCACCATGTCGCGTTGTTTGGACAGCGATTTGGGACATATTTTTTATTTGTAAATATTTAGTCTATGTAGGTTAATTATTTGTATTATTCCTAACCCCCATATTATTATTAATAAATAGGTATATTATTTAACTTTGACTAATAAAAAAATCGTCAAACACTGAGATCAATATAAAGGATAAGTACTAGGTTCAAAGTTGCGATCAAAAGTCTCTTAACTCCGAAGTCTTTAAAATGTTACCGTTTTAACCTTTTGGTGGAATTTTAAAGTAGAAATTACTTTTATTATTAACTTAACAAGTAGCGATTGGTAACCTAATCTCCAGACATCTTTAAAATTGCATAGTATTTACCTTAAAAGAGAATATCTCCCCAATAATAATGACGGACAGCGGCTGCAGACCCGAGGAATCGCAGAAGATGCACAGGCATAGAGTCACGATAGGGATCCAGTCCGGGGCGTAGACCTGGTAGTGCCTGGCCAGGAACCAGGACGCCAGGCCGCACATGCTGAGCCCAGAGACCAGGGATGTGATGAAGAGGAGTGGCTGGAAAGATTAAGTTAATGAAATCAAAGTCTTTATTAGCATTTAGGTCCTTAATTAATAGGGTTATTAAAATTTCTTAGCAGTTTGAGTCGCTTCTTAATTATAAATAAACAGCTTGAAAAACCGAACTGCCTATTAGGCAGTGTCTAAGGCGGGAATCGAACCCACGACCTTAGCAGGGCACTTATTACCACCACTTCGTGACAATATAGCTTTGCTCAACCACCACTTTGGGACAGCATATTATATAGGCTGATGCTGAGAATAACTTTCACTGCACTAAAGTTTTTGCATCGTTAAAAGTACTCGTATATTCCGTGGCTCTCTTTATTATCATGGTTATTGATTTTTGGGCATTGTCTACGGTTAGTCATATTAAATTCCGTAGCTTGAGATAACGATACATACATTACTTTAAATTCCATTGCTGGGGTATTAACAATATTATTAACCGGCTAGCTCATAGCCATTATTTATGTACTCAAGATAGGTACGTGCTTGTTAAGCTTTGTACAAAATCCCAATAGTCAGTAACGGAATAGGGGTTTCCAATCCAACCTTTCGCCCAGTCTTCTCCACTATGCTCGAAGCTAACATCGCTCCAGCCACCTGCACAGCTCCCAGCATCATCGCCTGCTGGTTCGGAGTCAGCGCCAACCCTGACCCTTCAGAAGCCATCTCGAAGATGTTGCCAGCAAAGTTCAGGACTGGTATGGCCCCGCAGACTTCTCTAGCTAGAGCCACCACCATCGAGATCTTGAACGCCCTGTACAGGATTTTGTCAGTCACTGGAAAAAATTGAGGAGTGTTAAAACCACGGTAAAAACGGAAAACGCAGCGTGGGACGTCCACCCACAAGGTGGACCAACGACCTGATAAAGGTAGCAGGAAGGCGCTGGATGCAGGCCGCTACCAACCGTGGGTTGTGGAAGTCATTGGGGGAGGCATTTGTTCAGCTGTGGACGTCCTATGGCTGAATAAATGATGATGATGATGAAAACCACCATAGTCAGTATTTCGTTAGTGCTGTCGTGTGTACAAACTTAAGGGACAAACTTGACCTTCACTGGTTGGGTTTTTATTGGCGGTCAAGCTGTAGATCCTGGCCACACAGGAGTTGCAGCGGTGGGAAAGAGACGTGGGAATAGTCCCGTATATTACGTTAGTATAATTAGACCTATGCACTGATAGTGGTAGTTCATGTACAAGACCAGCGTTTCCAAAACATTATTCTGCCATGGAATTTCAGTCCCTTCTGGACTTCCTTGATACTTTTTGAAGCAAAGCTTGGAGTTGCTTCTCCCCAAAATTTTGGCCAAATGTTTATAGTTTGCTCAATGTAATCGTTGCCAATATGGTGTCCAAAATAATGAAATTCTGATTGACATTAATTCATCTACGGTTGCAGCCATGTGGATACTAATACTACCGATGTCTTTATTGCCTTTATCTAACTCGTCATAAATAAAACATGCATAATATCTACATAATCTCGGATCACTTATTGTATTCTGTGTCTTAACTCTCCCTTATCTAGTTTTAAAGTAAATACGAACTTTTCCTCCAAACTCTCAATTCAACTATCACTATCTTATCAACATTTAATTTCGGCTTATTTAAATAAAACTATGTAAAATGGCGAGCTTTATTTAAATAAGCTCAACAAATAAATAAATAATGTAAGTTTTTAATACATTAGCAAATGATAAGATAGAGAAAGGTCGTTTATTTAAAGCGTGGATCAGAATTTCCAACTGACATGATGGAGTTGTGCAAACACTCGTATTAAGTTTGAAATAATTGTTTGTATCATTTACATAATAGGGGAAAATGTGCCGCAACATGTGTGGCTCGAAATGACGTCTTTAGGCGACTAGCACCGCATGTTTTCTAATTCAACAAAATTTTAAACACGCACAATGCACATTTTGGGTACCTACTAATAAAGAACTAATTGAAATGTTTTTATTTTTTATTTTTATTTTTATTTACTTATTTTGTTTAGTCAAATGGTACATATTTTGTTGAATTTCAAGGGATGATGACCACACTCATACTAGGACATTGCAGTCTCAGCATAATAATAATTATGATGTGGAAATTACAAGCCATCTCATTTATCTAATTCTAGGTTATGGACTTTAGTTTGTTACAAGTTACAACTCAAATGATAGAAATAATAGCCCAGTCCAACTTTCTATCATTTGAGTGCTTATGCACAGACTGTTTCTTCACAAAGACGAATATCATTGTCGATTGAGCAGGAAAAAAATGGGTATTCTTTCTGCTTTAAAGAATTGGACAGTTTCATGCTAGTCTTTGAAAAGCTGAAGTAAACAGATTTTTATAGAATACAATAGCATAATATTATGACCAAGTGATCCATATTTTTCATTCTTTTACCATCAACAAGACAATTACTATGAAGATGGTTGCTCAATTGGTACAATCGGCCTTGATTTCTTCAATTTATTAATTGTTTGTCAAAAGTTATATTGTTGTGCTCTTGTTTTATAGAAAAACTCTGCAATAATAAAACCAAATTTCCTTCTCACTCATGCATATTTTAATCGGCTAATTCAGCTGTAAAAATTGCGTTAATTCGTTATGTAATTAACCTAATTAGTAATGGATTTGCCTAAAAATAAATTCTTACCGATAGCTTTGAGGACGAATTTGTTGTTTTCCGCATCGATCTTCTGTTCGTTTCTAATTGCTTCTACTTCGAGCTTTATTTCAGCATCTGTTTCATCTCTGCAACGAAGCCAGGCTAACACTCTTGTAGCTTCCTGGAAGAAATATTATTCATCTTATGGATTTGATTACCTATAATATTATATTGCATCTAAATATATAACTCAAAGGTGACTGACTGACTGACATAGTGATCTATCAACAGTATCAACGCACAGCCCAAACCACTGGACGGATCGGGCCGAAATTTGGCATGCAGGTAGATGTTATGACGTAGGCATCCGCTAAGAAAGGATTTTACGAAACTCTACCCCTAAGAGGGTAAAACGGGATCCACGCGTACGGAAATTTTTACTATAAAATTTTCACTGTCACGGGATTTGGCAACAAATAGTAGCGCTCGAACAGACGACGCCGCATCTCTTCAGTCTGCCCGCGACAATGACTCATGCAACTGAGTTAATTCCGTACTTTTTTGGGTAAGTTTCTAATATTTCAGGGGATAATCATTTTTTTTTATGTGACAGGAGGCAAACGAGCAGACGGATCACCTGATGGTAAGTGATTACCGTCGCCCATAGACACCCGCAGACTCAGGGGCGTTACAGGTGCGTTGCCGGCCTTTGAGGTGAAGATACGCTCTCCTCTTGAAAGCTTGCAGGTCGTATCCGTCTGGAAACACCGCAGACGACAGTCCATTCCACAGTTTGGTTGTACGGGGCAGGAAGTTTCTAGAGAAACGTACTGTTGTGGACTGCCAACCATCATGGTTTCCGATTCGTTTCTGATGGTAATACGTAGACTAAGGTCAAAGTCAAAGCTTTTATTCAGTACTTAGGTCCTTTCCAGGGTGCTTATACACGTCCCAAATATAGCTTGCCTATCACCACTTGAGGATAACATAATGGACTGGTGCTAAGAAGAAGTGGCGGAAGAAACTTATGCCCGTTTTCACCATCAATCCCTAATTGAGTGACCCCTATGGTAACACTTATCGGGAATTTTGTTTACATAGGGGTCACTTGAAAATTAGTGATTGATGGTGAAAACGGTCGTCAGTCACCTTTGTTAGAACTACCTCTATTATATCACACTAACTTCAGTTCGTCAATATTTACTAGTCATTGAATAAGAGCATCAGCTCGATAACACTTACCTCTAGCTTTCCTCTCTTGACCAAGTATGCTGGTGATTCTGGCATCATCATGAAAAGAAACAGATGGAAGGTGGGAATGGACAAGCAAATCCAAAGCACGGTGTTGTAGTCCAAGATGTCTCCAATGACGTAGAGGAAAAGATTTCCAGTGGTGTGGAACAGGATTACCTATAACAAGAAAACATTAGGTAGGTAGTCATTTTTATAGGGAAAACGAACTTTTTTTATCAAAATTTTTAGAAAAAATAACTATATCAAATAGACGACAGACAAGCATGTAAGTAATGCTGATAAAAGATCGTTTCATTTTAATCAAAGCACGTCCACTGTTGATTCAAGGCCTTCTCCAAGGTTTTCTACAAGGACCGATCCTGCGCTGTCGTCATCCACCTACATCTAGCGACCTTCACTAGATCGTCGGTCTGCTAATATCCCATAGAGGCACAAAAAACACCAATGAACTGGCACCAGCTAATGATCATAATGATGAAGATTTTTTTTTATGCACGACAAGGCAGGTATTTGACCGCAATCGCACTTGGTGTTAAGTGAGATGCAGTCTAGGATGGTACATATCTGCCCTGTAAGTGCCTATTCACTCTCGTCTTGAAAAGTCCAGAATTAAGTGTTCATGAAAGACAGCAGCTAATTTAGTCCCTAGCTGTTTGCATTATAAAAGAATCATCACAGAATACACTTACCAAAGAGCCCAGGAACCCTCTGATGCAGTCTTGACTGATCTCCTTAGTGTAGAGCGGGCACGTGACGTAGCTCCCGCCCATCGTGATCCCGACCAGAGCCCTGGCAGTGATGAAGGCCCACGTCTCCAGCGAGGAGAGCTTTATTACCCAGCAGCCCTGATGAAAATAATACCTCTGAAGAATTATCCAAATAGAGCCTAAAAGAACCCATTTAGTTTTTTATTAAATTATTCCGTTACGAAATGTATTCGAGTCTTAATCGAAAAAGAACACGCTCAAGTAAAAAAAAACTACGAAACCGAGAGTTAAGTAGTATGCAACAAAGAATTTTGAGGTTGAGTTTGTAAAGCAAATAAAACCTATAGAAATCTAAATATTCCGGTAGCTGTTAGTTAGTACAATTACCATAATATGATTTGCCGCAAATTTGCATTTTTTGGAAGGCGTAGATGCAGTTGATATGATATAAATAAAACTGCCTATTAATTTTAGTATTCGTATTCGTTTCAGCCAAATGACGTCCACTGCTGGACAAAGGCCTCCCCCAAGGTTTTCCACAATGAACGGTCCTGCGCTGCCCGCATCCAGGCTCTTCCCGCGACCTTTACCAGATCGTCGGTCCACCTAGTAGGAGGCCTGCCCACGCTACGTTTTCCAGCCCGTGGTCGCCAGTATTAATAGCATAATAAAGTTTTACAGATGTAAAGATACGATAAGTAGTATTATTTATCGATTCGCAGCTGTAATAATATTAAAATCTATGCATATACAACGATTCAAAGAACTACTTAGGCCCAGTTACTGCATTGAGATTTCCCGCTTGAGTGCGCTCATCTTCTACTTTAGGATAAATTTAGCAAGTTCATACTTGAATGATGCTCAAAGCCAAAAATCTCCATTCAGAAAACGAGCCTTATTTCCATAGCACTTAGAGCTACGGTATTGTAGTGAAACTTACCACACAAGACGCCGATAATATCAGCAATGTAGGCTTTCGTCCAATCTTGTCGCACAGGAACACCATCAAGAAGTCTGCAGGTACGCAGACCAGGTATGAACACGCTGCCATCCATGATATCTACAAGAAATCATCATCATCATCATTTCAGCCATAGGACGTCCACTGCTGAACATAGGCCTCCCCCAATGCTTTCCATGTTGATCGATTGGTAGCGGCCTGTGTCCAGCNCGTCCAGCGCTTCCCTGCTACCTTTATGATGTCGCCGTCCACTGCCGTCCGCCTGTCCACCTTAGGGGGCGTCCATTAATTACGTGAGACTTTTAGGGGAGGGAGGGGGTCAAGAAACCTCACTAAATCTCACGTAGGGGAGAGGGGGGGTCTCGACAAATATCACGTAATTTTTTCCAGCAAGAAAACGCGAATCGGTCAAATTGCGAGAAATCTGGGTTATTTGAAATTGAAAAAAGAAATATATTTTAAGATGATAATGATAAATAATTAAATTTTTTATTCTGCTGAACCGCCTAAACAATATGGAAATTAGTAATATTAATATTTTTGGAGATATGGAAACTGTACTTCTTCATTCATGAAAACCAAAGACTACACAATTAGCCTTTTACAACATTTATCCCCGGGAAGCGTGATATCAAATCCTTCATTTGCTCTGACAAATTAGAAAGGTGCTCCTGCAGTGGAAACTAAGCGAAATGATGACGGTGATGTCTAAAACAACTCATTATTCACTGGCGTGGCTATTAATTGCCACTCGGCATGGGGCACACTGAAAACTAGCGCCGTGGCCTTCCCAACCGTGGGTCACGGCATATGATGAGTGGAGTCATCGATGGACATCGCTGTTGCGACAAGGTAGCACTGCTCAGTTCACTTTTTATTTAATTTATGTGCTATTTCTGTCTTTTTTTCGTATACCTTCTTTGACCTTAACTAAGTAATGTTCATCGTAATAAATGTTTCTTTCATTCTTTTTAAACAACTACTTACCTCGTAGTCTGATAAAGGAGTGCCTCTAGGAGAGTCTGTGGACTGCAGCAGGAGGGTCATAGGAGACATCCAGCCTATGCTCGCTCCATAGGCAAACACAGGAATGTTGACTGCAAAATAACAGGGAATAAGGAACGGTTTCCAGAAACTCTGTTCCTAAATGAAAATTAGAGAGAATACAAGATTTTTAGTTTTCTTTTTTGATGTTGGGGTTTATGTTATCTCGATTCAAGAACACCTTATTATTGATATGAGTATATAAATTAAGTTGGTGCGTATAAGAGTAGTAAAGTACGAGTCACCTAATATTTATTAATTAGATCGTAATTTTTAAAACCCTTGAGAAATTACTAAAGTAGTTATAACTTTTCTGATACAATATAGGTGAACCCTGGGAGTTATTGGTAAACATAAATGTACAAACTGTCCAATGGAAATGGCCTCAGAAGATAGCTGGACGAAAGAATCGGAAGATGGACTATCTCTACCACTTATGTTAACTAACTCTGGTTGATATGTTTTAAAAATTAAAGATCTTTCGTCTTGGTTTATTTCTGATATAACTTAAAAAAAAAAAATCAAATGCGTGAACACAAATAATACCTATTCAACAAAAAAATCGTTCATCCCCAATTTTCCACCGTTGGGGGTTGTTTTTTTTATTATTAAATTTACCTATATGGGACCACCCTTGAGGTATTACCTATACGCCGAAAAAATATTTGTTCAAATCGGTTCATAATTGGCGGAGTTATCGCGTAACAAACATAGAAAAAAAAACATACGGGTCGAATTGAGAACCTCCTCCTTTTTTTGAAGTCGGTTGAAAATCAGCCAATGACACTAACATTAAATATTGTACGATAGAATAATAATGTTGTACTCACTCAATACAGCACATATCACTTGGTTCACCACACTGCCCTCTCCAAAGAAGTAGTAGTATTTCTTCATTTTGATATCACAGTAATCACTTCTACACCAACTTATTTAGCACCTTACAAAGTTTCATCAACGTCCGTGCGTCTTTAGAGATTTTTAGGACTTCACTGAGTATGATCGAAGTCTTTAAAAAAAGCCAATATCCTGACCAAAAATGGTCAGTCAGCAGCAGTCTAAAAAATAACAAATAATTTTAAATCGACATAAAGTTTAAGTACACCTTTAGCTTGATGGCTCTACAAGATTTATTCAAGGACAGTTTTTTTACTTTGATCTTCGATTAATTAGATTCGAAAATATTTATTTTTACATTATGCAAAAATATAACCTGTTAAGTATACGCAAATAATTTTAGCAATTTGCACTAAATATTAACTTGAACAGGCGATTATAATTTGTGTTAGCTGGACTGTTGCTTATAATAATATCTATAAGTTATTCTACACAATACTACAAGGCTACAGCTGATAGTATAAATAATAGGTTGTAGATTCAAGTGTTAATTTCAATTCGAAACTAATAATTCAAATAATTTTTCGGTTTGAAACTTTGCGTTACCTGGCAGAGTCACATTTTAAGTGGCTAAAATAAAACAGAATAATTTGAAGATATTAAAATTAAATACAATGGTGCCTATGTAATATTTTGGTACAATAACAACACTAGACTAAGGACGAACGTATACAACAAACAGAAAGCAACTGAACTAATTGAGGCAAGTGTGTCTTCAACTCGACCGAGCGAACGAAAAGAATAGAAGCATATTATATAGTATGACCGGTTAAATGAGACCTCGCCTGCGGAACGCGGGGGCACAGGGGCGGGACGAGAACGGGTACCGTGCGGGGTGCGGGCGGGGATGATATAAAAAAGATTAAATTTCACCAAATACTTCTCAAGATATGTGACGTCACAGTGAAGTGGTTAACGGTAAACAGGTGGTGATAGATTTTTTAAAATAAATTATNTGTCCAGCGCTTCCCCGCTACCTTTATGATGTCGCCGGTCCACCTTAGGGGGCGTCCATTAATTACGTGAGTCGTTTAGGGGAGGGAGGGGGTCAAGAAACCTCACTAAATCTCACGTAGGGGAGAGGGGGGGTCTCGACAAATATCACGTAATTTTTTCCAGCAAGAAAAAGGGTCAAATTGCAAGAAATCTGGGTTATTTCAAATTAAAAAAAGAAATATATTTTAAGATGATAATGATAAATAATTAATTTTTTTGTTCTGCTGAACCGCCTTAACAATATGGAAATTAGAAGAAACGGTTCTTTTTTTTAAATATTAAATGCTAATCGAAGCTAACCCTTGTATTGCAAATATGTATTTTAAGAAATCTCACGTGAGATTGTAGGGAGGGGGAGGAGGTCTGGNTAAATTATTTTCTAATTTATAAAATTCTAATGAAACAATTCATGTCGTATTTCATGTAAAATTTATTGTGTGCAAGATGAGTATCCAAATTATTAATCAATCACTTATGTCCATATCAATATCACTAGAACTTGATTCTTCACTTTCAAAGCAGCCATCATCCGAATTATCTGAATCATCGTGCACATTAATAATAAAATCAACAACGTCATCTAGAACTCCGTCATGTTCGCAGTATTCGTGACAGACGCTAAACAGACAGTAGAATAGTTTGCGTGACAGACACTTCCAAAGTGGAAAAAAGTTGGTCCCCCCCCCCCCCTCTTACTTCTAAAATAAGAAAATGAAAAATAAAAAAAAAACATAATATGATGTACATTACTATAAAAACTACCAACGAAAATTGTTTTGAACGAGATCTAGTAAGTAGTTTTTTTTAATACCTCGTAAATCGTAAACCGCTTAATACCGCGTAATCTTTCATACAAATAACTTAAATTAATAAAAACTAATTTTAATTTCATAAATCAATGGTACGGAACCCTTTGTGCGTGAGTCCGACACGCACTTGGCCGGTTTTTTTTTTAAAATTGTGTAATACTGAGTAACTTTTCTTCTTACCACGCCTTTTTTGAAATCATCTACTTCCACCCTTTTCCTGCGGCTTTGTTTCAATTTCTTCGGTGATTTACATTTTTCATTGTTTTTTAATAATTTTCCTTGTTGTCCAATTCTGGATACAGTCTTTTCCGATAGTCCAGTAACGTTTGCTACCATTTTGTTTAACGGTATATCTTGTTGATATTCATCAGAATTTGGATCCAGTTTTTTTAATCAAATATTCATAAACGTTAAAATTTTATGTCCGAAAATCTTTCGACTTACCCTCAAAAAGCTTCCGTAACAAATAACACAAGCGTTCGCTAGCCGCATCGCCAGCGAAATGAATTTTGACAAGAATGCGCCTGCCGCCCGCACCCCGTACGAATCCCGTTTTCGTCACGCCCCTGTGTCCCCGCGTTCCGCAGGCGAGGACACATTTAAGCGGCCTACCTATAGATTATATATAAGACTAGCTGACCCGGCGAACTTTGTTCCGCCTTAATGGCAATAAATAAGCAGACTTTTTTTTTAATTTCGAACGGGATAAAAAGTATCCTATGTCCTTCTCCTGGCTCTAAACTACCTCCCTGACAATTTTCAGCTAAATCGGTTCAGCCGTTCTTGAGTTATAAGTGCAGTAACTAACACGACTTTCTTTTATATATATAGATTGCTCCTAAATAATAACCAAGTCTGCTCGGGCTCAAAATATGCGCAATAAAATACATAGTACAAGTCTAGGAACCTTACGCCCGTATTCACAAACATTACTATGAGGTCTCACATTGCGCGTGAAGGCACAGGGTGATACACGAACATTGGTTCGTGTATCACCCTGTGTGTCATTACACCACAGAGCTCTATTCAATGCTGTGCCTTCTATTTTCTGCTTCACTTAAGCAAACATCGTTTGTGAATACGAGCGTTAGTCTTGTCAAGATCCCAAAGTGCTTTGCTAAGTTTGGGACTAGAGGCGCAGTGTAAAATGTCCAAGGATATTTATTTAATAATTAAATTTTGAATTCTCAAAAAAAATCTAGTGTAATTTAGCATCTCATGATCACAAATAAAAAGATCTAGAATAAAGTAGAATAATCTTAGAAACATCCATCTGTTCTGTTCATTTTCTTGCCCTGGACAAATAACAAAGACAAACTAATTACCGGAACTGTATAATAAGTAAGCCTAGTTGGTTTATAAAATACATTATTTTTAGATGTTATTTGTCGAAGGATGCCAAATTCAATGTCCTCACGTGATTGAATGATGTATGAGTCTTCATGGTTTGTTAACGGAATTAACATGGGTTGCGATTTTGAATCCAATAATTTTAATACATTCTGATGTTACCTAGTTCGTTTCAACCAAATGATTTCCACTGTTAGACGAATGATTTCCATAACGACCGGTCTTGTGCTACCCCGCATCCAGGCACTTCCCGGGACCTTCACCAGACCGTTGGTTCACCTAGTGGAGGCGTGCCTACACTACGTCTTCCGGCATTCTGATCAGTCATCACATTCTGGTGTAACAGATACATTTTCTTTGTTTCTAAATCTATCGTTCTTTCTAAAGATAATTGTCATCATCATCATTTCAGCCATAGGACGTCTACTGGTGAACATAGGCTTCCCCCAATGTTTTCCATGTTGATCGATTGGTAGCGGCCTGCGTCCAGCGCTTCCCTGCTACCTTTATGATGTCGTTGGTCCACCTTGTGGGTGGACATCTCACGCTGCGTTTTCCGATACGAGGCCTCCATTCCAGAACCTTGCTGCCCCACACCTCACCAACCCGCCTGCCAAGCATGGCGAGTATCGGCAATAATCCCCCTAATGAGAAAGATAATTATACAAAAAATAACACATGCTTCTGTTTCTAAGCTTTTATCGTTGTCAAACATATCAATGAACAGTGATGCTTAATCAAATAGCTACTTTAGTGCCATCATATAACTATTTGTGTATAGGCTCATCTTTGTACAAATATCAGAAGATAAATTTTATGACATTACGTTTGATTTAACTATAGGGACCTACATAACAGTTACCTATTAGTAGGTAACGTCCACCCAAAAGGTGACTTATCCCTAATTTTTACGTGACCCCTGACCCCTATGAAAACAAAATTCCTATTATGTGTTACCATAGGGGTCACTTAAAATTAGGGATTGATGGTGAAAACGGGCATCAGTTTTCTATTTTTCTATCGATTCTCTGCTATCCCTTTTTTACCTGAATAAGATTTTTTTGGACAACTCTTTTTTAATCAGTAGATAACCAACACCAAATCTATGGTCTCCATCCTCTTCACTCAAAATGACATACTTTGTCAAACGCTTCCCACAGCAGTTTGTAAAATGCAGTCCATTATTTTGAATTGTGTGTTTCAAACATAATTTGTGTATTTATTATTCCAAATGTAAAGGCATGGTTTGGAAATGGTTGATCTCATACATTTTGATGGTCGGTTAGTATTTTATTGACTTATTATCATGCACGATAGAGCGACAGTAGTAGATTGGATTGTAGTTCGTTCGTTTCAGCCAAATGACTTCCACATTTGAACAAAGGTCTCCCCCAAGGATTTCGACAACGATCGGTCCTGCGCTGCCCGCATCCAGGTACTTCCCACGACTTCACCAGATCGTCGGTTACCCTCTGATCGGTTCACCTACTGTTCGCCACTCAAGCTTTACTGTCCCTACGGTACTTAACTCTCCGCCCACCGCTACTTAATTTTAGCAAAGGCATATGACTATTTTACCAGATCGTCGGTTCACCTAGTAGGAGGCCGGCCCACGCTACGTCTTCCAGCCCATGGTCGCCACTCGAGAAGTTTCCTACCCCATCGGCCATCGTCTCTACGTGCCCCGCCCACTGCCACTTGATTTTAGCAATTCTGCGAGCTATGTTACTTTGGTTCTCCTGCGGATCTCTTCATTTCTGATTGGCGGGAAGAGCCTGTATGCGGGCAGCGCAGGACCGTTCATTGGGCAAAACCTTGGGGGAGGCCTTTGTCCAGCAGTGGACGCCATTTGGCTGGGACAAATGATATGACTATTTTAGATGATATCCTCTTTCTTCCAGTGGCAATTCTCCACCGCTACGACGCTCTCAACCTGGACACCTTCAAGCAGTTCACGAGTAAGCTGCAGGCGTTGGTCGACGAGCTAGCAGGCTACTTTGCACCCGTCGGGTACCCGATCGAGCTCGTCGCGAGGTTCTGTACATTGCAGAAACTGTCAATGGTATTGTTTAGATAGATATCTAGATTTATAACGTGTTTACGGTGATCTGTTTCTTTACGAGATCGAATCAGGAATGCGGATATCCGTAAACGAAATGAAGTCGCTGACAGCCCATCGGATTAGCAAGCTGACGTGGCAATGAGCATGGGGCAACATGGTTCTGGACTGGAGGCCATTAACAAAAATGCGTGGCGTGAGACGTCCACCTAGAAGGTGGACATAACATAGCCTGACGAAATAACAAGCTAAAGTGGAAATGGGAAGGGCACATAGTATGCAGAACTGATGACAGTTGGGGCAACAAGGTTCTGGAGTGGAGGCAACGCAAGTGCAGCGTAGGACGTCCGTCTACAACGTAGATAGACGATATCATAATGGTAGCTGAAAAGCGCTGGACGCAGACCGCTACCAACCGGTTACTCTGGAATTATTGGAGGAGGTGTATGTCCAGCAGTGGACGTCCTATGGTTGAAAGGATGATGAACATGTGTAACGTGTGTATTATGGCCTCCCACTCTATGGACCATCAATCTGGCAATCACGTTAAGCACTGAATGCAGCGTAAGACTGGTCGTTATAGAAATTCCTAGAGAGGTCTTTGTCCAGCACTGAACACCCTTTTGCTGAAACGAACGAATTTTTATCTATGAACTCCACAAATATTCTTAACGTCTGTTCCAATTTTATCTAAATAACCTTGTAAAAGTGTACTTAGACAGAAATTAATTTTTGAGCAAATACATACAGTCGACGAAAATATCTCTAATAAAATAATTGCCAAAAATATCTACGCCAATCACGAAGCGAACAAACATAGACGAGTAAATTGCAAATTAAATAAAAGCTTAAAAATAACTCCTTTGGCACAAAACCACAGAGTCACAATGAAACTGTGCGAACTAGCTAACTCTTAGAGTAGGCGCACACCGTTGATTTTTCGTCGGCCGATAGTTTAGTCGGGCAGTTGATCAGTATGGGCATGTATGGGAGTGCGCACACTACGCCGATTCGATTTGGCCGATTCTTCATACAATTTAAAATCGAGCACAACTATCGGCCAACTAAAAATCAACGGTATGCGCCTACTCTTACTAAAATCATATGATTTGTGATTGGTTGTAGCGTTTATGCATAAATCTACATATTAATTATAGCGGCCGCCCGCGACTTTTTACCCCTTAGGGGTTGAATTTTTCAAAATCCCGTCTTAGTGAGCGTTCTAAAAGGAACCCCCATGCAAAATTTGAGACTCCTAGCACTTGTAGTTTCTGAGATTTTGTGATGAGTGAGTGAGTCAGTCAGTCAGTGACCTTTCGCTTTTAAAGATATAGGTTTTACGTTAGTTTTTATTTAAATGTTCCATTTGCATTTAAGGGCTCAAACACCTATCCGAAGATCTGGTTCACGACAAAGGCACTGAAATAAATTCATGAAAACTTCAAAAAACATGAAAATATAAGAAATAAAAATATTTTGTGTTGTTTATGGTGTGTGAAAAATAAAAGACAACATTTAAAAACGTTTTTTCATTTATTATTTCGTTAAAATACTCGATTGTACAGGTTAATATGAAGTTAAGCATTTCTTGTATAAAAAGTTACGTGGTTTTACATTTTATTACGAAATATTGTCTTATGGCAGTGAATTATTTCAGATAATGGTGATTGTTACATACAGTAAAGGTATTTATATTTGGATTACACATACAATTATTGTAGTAATGTATCACAATTAACTATTATTAGCATTTTTAATTTTAAACAATACCAAGCAATGCCAAACAACATTTAGTCAGATAATTCTACATTGTTTCATTTTTATTAATAACAATAAAACAATTTAACGTGTATCCCACACTGAAGAATACAACACTGAGCACACAAAAAAGAAAATGACATAACTCACAAATCAAAATATTTCAGTTAGTAAAAATTAAATAGTTTTTTTTTCTAAATGCATCGAAATCTAAAAACGAATAAATAAATATTATCATTAAATGTAATTATGACGAAAATTCACTAATTATTTACAAATCACTTAAACTATTTACTTTTAGTCAATAAATAGAAAATAAATAAACAGTCAAAAACCTTTTTAGGTTTAACTTTAGAGTAAGTTAGTGTATTACTAAGAAAAAGTTTTTTTTTGTTTTTGAGTATTTTTGGCGCAGTTTTTATTTTGAAGAGTGAACAGGTCAAAATAAAATCGCCAAAAATCGTGGACTCAAAAACTTCTGAATGATTCTATCAAACTTTTGTACTGATTACCATAAAATACAAAATTCTTAATATTAAAAACGCGATAAATGGAAGACGAAAATTCATATTAGTTGGTCATTAAATAAATGTACATATTCTTATGAATTGATTTATATTGATTGTTCCTTTGTCATTTCAAAAAGCTAATGTTTTTATACTCAAGTGAAGCCTCAATGTAACCTTGTTGGTGTTCAAATAAATAAATAAATAAATAAATACTTGGTTTATTACATAATTCCATATTATAAACCTTATCTCCTTGGTTTAAGGTCCAAAATAACAAAAAATGTAGCCTAAAACTCAATTTTTAAGAAATGACAAAGTTACCAAAACAAATCAATTGTCCTACATTAAAAGAGTTGGCACTAAGTTTTACAATGAACTCTAGATACAGCACGATATGGGGTAAAGCGATTATCGATACTGATGTATAAATATCGATAGTTTATCGGTAAAGGTAGTTCTTAGGCTCCTCGGCGATCGGCTCGGCGCACGTGCCCAAGTATTTGAGAGAGACCAGACTCCTGAAATGAAAGAATACATTTATTTTAATTGTCGAAGAGATGGAATACTTAAAATCTTACATTCATCATTGAAAGAAAGTAAGGAACTAGCACGTTTAAATTTCACATAAGCTTCGGGTAAGTTTTAAAAAATGAAAATGGAAGTTGCATCACTGTGGCTCCTAAAACCCAACCAAGGTCTTTCTCATAAGCATTTTATAGACAAGCTATGTAAGTCATAAGTCTGTCGACATAACAACAATGTTACCAGCATCGATAGTTCGAGGCTTACTTTCGAACTCTCTATCACAGAGGAACTGGCTAATAAGATCCTGGGTGAAGCTCGCTTCCTCTTTCAACCTGATTATCTCTTTCCATAAATGCAGCTCAGGAGTTTTTTCGTCGTGGGTAAAAAAAAAGTTCTGTCATAGATCGCTTCTGTAACGCCTCAGGACCTCAGGCAGTAGATTCAAGTCAGAAGTCATGTATCTTTCTAGAGCGGCATTTCGCTATACAGTGTGATATCAAATACCTGAACCGGCATTTTGCTATGAAGTGCCATACCTAAACCTACAGTTCTCCATCAAGTATTACTAGTAGACCAGTAGTTTTCAATAAAGTATCACACCTAGACCGTCAGTTTTCCATCAACTGAGGAATCAAGTTAGTGTCTTACCTAGACCGGCAGTTCTCCATCTCCAAGAAGCACTTGTTGGAGTAGGTCTTGTCATCAGTGCCGCAGACGGGGTCGTACTCGGGCGGGCAGACGCGTGCGCAGCCGGCGTATTGGAACCGGGATAGGCAGCGCTTGAGAGGCACCACGTACACGTGTTTGCTGCAAAGAAAAATGTGATTTAGCTGTGAGATTATAAGGTAATGATTTCCGTGAATAATGGCATTAAAATTTGTCCAGCATCTTAAAGCTGTTTGATGTTTGCGGCAGTCACGTGTGGAACACAGAAATGTTCATTATTCATTCGAGGGTTGAGACTTGAGGGTTCTGGAATGGAGGCCGCAGCGTTGGACGTCCACCCACAAGGTGGACCGACGACCTGATAAAGGTAGCAGGAAGGCGCTGGATGCAGGTTGCTACCAACCGTGCGATGTGGAAGTCATTGGGGGAGGCCTATGTTCAGCAGTGGACGTCCTATGACTGAAATGATGATGATGATGAGACTTCTGAGAATGAGGCGTGATACAGGGAACTCCAAATTATGTGTAACATCAGTAGAGGATTGAAAATTCTAAGAATGATGTGTGATTCAGAGACGTGCTCAAACCTAGCAATTTACACCAGTTATCCCAAAGACAACAATAATTACATTCTCAATTGCTTCAAATCTGCAAATAGTCAGACACTATTCCATCGAGGAAAAGTCAGCCAGTCCAATACCTTAATCGTTCGGATCTGACTGACCCATTTCCAGGGTATCAAAGAAAACAATCGTACGTAAAGTCCACTCTACTACCAACCCGCAGTTCAGAAGTGGCTGAAAAAATGTGACGGTGATGAAAGTCCACTTACCCGCAGTTCTCTTTCTTCATGATGCACTCGTTCTTATAAAACTTGTTGTCGGACCCGCAAACGAATGCAGGCGTATCGGGGCAGGGCTCGTTGCAGAGAGCCGTGGTGCGGCAGTGGGCTGCTGACACCGCAACGACATGCTGACCGCAAGTCAGGCGGCGGAGTTCGCATTTCGATCTGGAGAACAACAACATGAAGAAATGTCATGAATAATGAACAGCATGAAGTGTGGACAAACCTCAATAGGATTTCAGACACTACTCATCCAAAAATGTAACCATTTGATTTGATTTAGAGGTACGTAAAAATGAGAGGTTTAAAACGGTTCTTTTTGACCATTATGGTTATACCCTGATAACGGGTTGAGTAAAAGGAAGATTAATGGAGAAATCACGGTTATTAAAGGGTTTTTGAACAAACTATTGATGAAAGAAAGTCTGGAAAATGTAGTTAAACGTTAGACGTTTAACCTGGAAGTTATACCAAAAATAAATCAGACAAATAAGCTTCTCATAGCCTAGAAAGATTGTCAGCTTAAGTTGTGATTTATATTACTTGAAGGCCGAGCTGAATAGAAATCAATAGAAAGACTTACTACACTACTACTGATAGTGGACTTGGACTTGGAAAGAAATAAGCTGATGATGATGATCTTACTTGTAAACGTTTCCGTCGGAGCCGCAGATGGGTTTTTCGATGTCATTCTCGCAGTCGTCGGGGCAGTCAATCTCGAGTTTGGGCAGCACCGTGCAGTTTCCGAAGTGGGCCAGTTGCACGCCTTTGCTGTAAAGAAAATTGCGTTCGTAAAACATAGTACAATGGAAGAGACAGTAAACTGAGCAGTGCCACCCTGTCACACAGCGATGCCCATCACAATAGAACCCCATTCAGCATGCCGTGGCCACGAAGGCCAAGAAGCTGGTTTTCAGTGTGCCCCAAATAGGTAAAATAACTTTCTTAGAGCGAGGCAAGTCCATTATATAGTGGTATGTATCGTCCAGAACAACCTTTCTCTTTATATTCTTACAAAATGGACCACAAGCTGGATGAAGAAACCGGGAGATTGTTGTTAAACGGGGCTATTCCCACCTCTCGTTCCTAACGCTGCAACTCCCGTATAGCCAGGATCTACAGCTTAATCGCCAATAAAAACCCAACCAGTGAATATCAAGTTTGTCCCGGGGGGAAGTTAAACTGTCATTGGACCCGCAACGAAATTAATCAGAAGAACACAGGAGGACTTCGAAGTTAAGGTCGAAGCTATACTTACAGGCAAGTAGCCACTTTCAGGAGACAAACGGGGTCGTAGTCGGACTAACACTTCACGCACTTGTTGCAGGGTGCAGGTCTACCAACCGGGCAATATGGGAGTCACTGTGGGAAGCCTATGTTCAGCATAGGTCCTGTGGCCTAAATGATGATGATGAACGAACGAACGAAGATTGGCAATACTTACAGGGGACTATTCCCACTTCTCGTTACACCAAGTCAAGTTTGTCCCGAGGAAAGTTAAAATATCATTGTACCCGCAACGAAATTAATCAGAAGAACACAACAAACATAAACAACTGCACGCAAGAAGATTTAATGAAGACTACTGACACTGTTTGTTGTTGACACGACAACAAGAAGAAGAACACAGGAGTTCAAGGTTCGAAGTTGTACTCACAGGCAAGTAGCCACTTTCAGTAGGCAGGGGTTGTTGTACACATTGGCGTCGGTGCCGCACACGGGGTCGTAGTCGGCCGAGCACTTCACGCGCAGGCATTTGTTCATCTTCGACCGGCACTTCTCCATGTCAACCTTCTTGACTATTTTCCTGTTGCTGACTCTGGAATGGAGAAGAAAATAATAATAATGAATAGAATAGAATAGAAAACGTTTTATTTGCAAGAAAGGTATACAAGCAGGCAAGACATATATTCAAACAGAGAGAAATATTCAAGTGGAAAATTAACTGCTTGTGCCCCTCTGACAAAAAGGCATCCGCCCAGCGTACATTAAGACCGCCAGGGCTTGTCTTGAAACTGATTTTTAGCGGGAATTTAATGAACTTTATTCGAAAAAGAATAAGAGGGTTTTAACAGCGACTTCGGCATAGCAAAAATCAGATTGGGATTATGGCTTGCCTAAAGGCAAGGTTTTATCTTTCGCCGTAGTTCAAGCTGAGTTTAATTGGAAACCATTTTGGTTCTAAGATAGACCAAATAAAACATTAATACATTCACAAAGGGGAGCTAAAAGGAGCTTGCGAAATATCAAAATACACTTTAACACAAATATCCAGGTTTCAGTAGGCTTATCTTCAATCTGATTTCAACCTTGTCAGCACAGCATAAAGTTCAAATTCCCTAAGGATAGAAGCTTCAGCAAAATCGATAAAACGCTGAAAGGGTAGCCATTTTCATCCCTGAAAATCAAGGCTCGGTAGCTTAATGGTTAAAGCGTTCGCAATTGTCGAGGCAATTGCGAAGATGTTGGTTCGAATCCTTCCCGAGCTGACTTATTCTTTTTGAAATTGATTTATAATGTTTACAATATCTATTTATATCCCATTATTTGTGTTGTATTGCTGTTGGTTTTCCGAATAAAATAAATAAATAAATAAATATCATTTCATGAGCCTTTTATACTATTTTAGGCAAGTGTGAACAGAAAAATAAGTTCTAATAAAATAAGCACTGGTATAAGCGCTAGATGATCCTTCCTATTTGTAAGAGTGGATGGATCTGCTCTGTCCGAAAAAGTTGCTAAACGATTTTTGATGAAATTTTACACTATATTTACACATCATAATATAATCGATATTATTCTATTTATAATCGAGTTAATTTGCCAAATCACAATATTTCCAGCAAATCGGTCTTTCTGTGACAAACTGAATTTCAAGTTTAAATGGGTGGTTTTGCATTCAATTTTCTACAAAATTTTGAGTTATATCCTTATCTGCATCAATAAGAACCAAGCCCATGCCTAACCAAGACCATAGCCAACATACCCGCAGTTCAGCATTTTCATCTCGCACTCNCGCCAGGGCTGGTCTTGAAACTGATTTTCAGCGGGAATTTAATGAACTTCATACGCAAAAAAATAAGAAGGTCTTAACAGCGACTTCTGCATAACAGAAATCTGATTGAGATTCACAATTCAGTGAATTTTTGGCTGAGAGATTGATGCATTGACACATACCTACATGAAACATAGAGGCTTATAATTTTAGGACAACAACGGTTACACTGACGTGATAATAAAATGTTACGGAGTACTTCTGTTTTTTATATTCTATTTGGATTGATGGAAACAATACAATATTAGTTAAAAATTTTGGAGGTAGTTTCGAGAATTCAACATTTCAAATTGTAATAAAATAATGATGTAGAGTCACCCAATAAAGGTTTTTAACTGAAAACAGGCCTAAAGGCAAGGTTTTATCCTTCGCCGTAGTTCAAGCTGAGTTTAATTGGAAACCATTTCGGTTCTACGTAAGATAGACCAAATAAAACATTAATACATTCACAAAGGGGAGCTAAAAGGAGCTTGCGAAATATCAAAATACACTTTAACACAAATATCCAGGTTTCAGTAGGCTTATCTTCAATCTGATTTCAACCTTGTCAGCACAGCATAAAGTTCAAATTCCCTAAGGATAGAAGCTTCAGCAAAATCGATAAAACGCTGAAAGGGTAGCCATTTTCATCCCTGAAAATCAAGGCTCGGTAGCTTAATGGTTAAAGCGTTCGCAATTGTCGAGGCAATTGCGAAGATGTTGGTTCGAATCCTTCCCGAGCTGACTTATTCTTTTTGAAATTGATTTATAATGTTTACAATATCTATTTATATCCCATTATTTGTGTTGTATTGCTGTTGGTTTTCCGAATAAAATAAATAAATAAATAAATATCATTTCATGAGCCTTTTATACTATTTTAGGCAAGTGTGAACAGAAAAATAAGTTCTAATAAAATAAGCACTGGTATAAGCGCTAGATGATCCTTCCTATTTGTAAGAGTGGATGGATCTGCTCTGTCCGAAAAAGTTGCTAAACGATTTTTGATGAAATTTTACACTATATTTACACATCATAATATAGGCTATTTATAATCGAGTTAATTTGCCAAATCACAACATTTCCAGCAAATCGGAGTTTCTGTGACAAACTGAATTTCAAGTTTTAATGGGTGGTTTTGCATGCAATTTTCTACTAAATTTTGAGTTATGTCCTTATCTGCCACAACAAGAACCAAGCCCATACCTAACCAAGACCATAGCCAACATACCCGCAGTTCAGCATTTTCATCTCGCACTCGTTCCTGTAGATGCTCTCATCTGACCCGCAGACCAGCTTCTCCTTCTGTCCCGAGCAGTCGGTGGGACACGGCTCTCCGCCAGACGTCCGCTCTTGGGACACGCAGAATGCCATCGGTACTTCGAACACGTGTTTGCTGGAAGAGAATTGGGACAAATTAGTTCATTTCTCGACTGAGGGGAATCGTGGATATGCGTCTAAAAAATCTTCGGTTCTAACACAAAAAGTTGCTACCACACTTTAGTATGATACGGAAATTTTTAAATACCATGTGTCTTCCTAAAAAAAATGTCAAAAAACTATTTTAAAAGTAACTAAGTAATGTTTTTTAGAAATTTTGATTCCTAAATCCCTAGTTGGACGTAGTAACAACCCACATGAAGTTATTTGCTGGGATCATTTTAGTAATTAAATAACTTTATAGTTTTACAACCTCTTTGGTATATGAGTATTTCTCAAAAAAAATGTACGTAACGAAACGGTAGTAACGAAATAGTAAGGCCATAAGGCTTGTTATACATTGGCGAAATATTGTGAATGCTCTTTATTTATTCAATTCGAAATATTTGTAAGTATGCACCCAAATACGGTTTAATATTAAGGGGTTAGAAATAAAATAAGGGAGTAATCATTCATACTATTTTAATAAAATTATTTTTGTTCCATCATGTTTATCCATTTTGAGTCGTTCTCTGTAAGCTTTTTGCCTTTCGGCATTGGTTTTTGGCGGCATTCCTAAAAAAACAAAAGAAGTAATCACATAAAAACGTAATCTAAATGATTTGATAATTTTTTGCTGGTGGCACTTCTGNTATTTCCAGCAAATCGGTCTTTCTGTGACAAACTGAATTTCAAGTTTAAATGGGTGGTTTTGCATTCAATTTTCTACAAAATTTTGAGTTATATCCTTATCTGCATCAATAAGAACCAAGCCCATGCCTAACCAAGACCATAGCCAACATACCCGCAGTTCAGCATTTTCATCTCGCACTCGTTCCTGTAGATGCTCTCATCTGACCCGCAGACCAGCTTCTCCTTCTGTCCCGAGCAGTCGGTGGGACACGGCTCCCCGCCAGATGTCCGCTCTTGGGACACACAGAACGCCATTGGTACTTCGAACACGTGTTTGCTGTAAGAGAAATTGGGACAAATTAGTGCATTTCTTGACTGAGGGGAATCGTGGATATGCGTCTAAAAAATCTTCGGTTCTAACACAAAAAGTTGCTACCACACTTTAGTATGATACGGAAATTTTTAAATACCATGTATATTCCTAAAAAAATTGGCAAAAAACTATTTTAAAAGTAGCTAAGTAATGTTTTTTAGAAATTTTGATTTTAGAACCCCCAGTTGGACATAGTTACAATTTTATTAACATGATGTTTTTAGCTGGGATCGTTTTTTTAGTAATTGAATAACTACGAATATAGTTTTACAACCTCTTTGGTATATTAAACTCAGTTTTTGCATTTTTGTGGATTGGGTTCTTTCTGCGTGACTGCGACCAGCTTCATATTTTTAAAGTAGGCTCTAACGCCCGTATTCACAAACATATATACTATGAGGTCTCACAGTGCGCGCTGACGCACAGGATCACACACGAACCCATCACAGAGCTTTATTCAACGCTGTGCGTTCGTATTTCTTCTTCACTTAAGCAAGTATCGTTTGTGAATACGGGTGTAATAGTATCTTTTTTCTTCCTCCTTCTACTTACCCACAGTTCGTGGCCTTCATCCTACAAGCGTTCGCGTAGAGCTTCCCGTCGGAGCCACACGTGGGCCTAGCGACGCGCCAGCACGACTCGCGGCAGTGGCGGGTAGTTTGGCAATGCTTTTTGCTGGTTCTTACTACTCCTTGTCTGGAAAAAGGGATAGAAAAGGTTTTAAGACATGGGTTCTTAATTTAAATTATTTAAAGAAGTCATTATCCAGGTTCAGAGGTCCAGAATATTGTAGAGACGTTATTGGACAATATCAATCGATACCACTCTTGATTCATCTTATACCCTCTTGAAACTAGAGTCTTTGAAACATGACTATTTCCACCTCTCATTCACGCTGCTGCAATTCTGTATCAGAAACTACAGCTAGACCGTCAATAAAACCCCAACCAGTGAAGGCCAAGTTTGTTCCGGGGGAAAGGGACTATTCCCACCTATCGTTCTCACCGCTGCATCTCCTGTGTAGCTAGGATCTACAGCTTTACCGCCAATAAAACCCAACCAGTGAAAGCCATGTTTGTTCTGAGGAACGTTACCCTTAAGCCGTGATGGACCCCCAACGAAATTAATCAAAAAAATTAAGGAGTAGTCATAAAGAAAAAGGCTACCTTGAGCAGCTTCATCTGGCAACTGCTCTTATAGATATTACCTACCATTGGATCTTCTTAAAGATACGTCGAGCGGCTAAGAGCAGTCACGGAGCAGTTCTCGCAGTACGAGTTGATGATTTTACTTAAACTCAGAAGAAGGTTACTTACCCACAAGTGAGCAGCTTCATCTGGCAAGTGCTCTTGTAGACGTTCCCATCTGACCCGCAGATGGGGCCATCCAGCGGCGCTTGAGAGCAATCCACGGGGCAGTTCTCGCGATGAGCGCTGATGTTGTTGCAGGCTCCAAGATGGGAGAGACCGATGCCCACTCTGGAAAATATCAGAAAAATAGGAATTTAAATCACGAAAGGCATTCAAGTAGGTAACACCGGCAGATATATGGCTATTATCTAGGGACCCTTATAAGAACTTTATGGTTAGAAGTAATCTGATGGGTCTATTTCCATAACTTATTTCTATCATTGCAACTGGATCTACAACTTGACTGATGTGAAAGATTTTATGTAAAGAAATAATAATGTAAATGTAATGAAATGACACAACATAGGCAATTAACCTTATCTTAGGGATCTTAAAAAAAATCCGTTAAAATTCAATCAAGGGCATTGAGTGTTAAAGTCATTCCATGAAGAGTACGCAAGGAGTGTGATTAAAGGGAAATTACAATGATAATATGGTAAATGAGCCTGAGAACTTGAGTGATGAGGAATGATCAGATGCCACATCATCCAGGAGTTATGCTCTTTTATGTTATTTATAGAACCAAACCTAAGTAAGTAAGCTGTGGTAAATGATGCTGATGTTGAATTTACTTTTTTTTTGCAATTCGATTTCTTAAGCAACATATTCAACATTGTTTTTTTACCCTAATAAAGTAAAAAAAAAAACCGCTGTGTTGAAAACCTTTATAGTACAAGCAGTCACAATGGTTACCATTATAGCTGTTATAGGCCTACTATATTACCTACTATTTGTTGATAAAACGCCTTGGTTTTAGAACCTGTTGTTACTCGATTAGTTTCAACTTAACTTCATGTAACCTTCGTATACCCACCTGCAAATCTCAACCTGCAGCATGCAGCGGTTCAGGTAGGTCCTCCCGTTAGTGCCGCAGACGGGGTCCCGCTCGGAGGTGCAGCGGTGCTCGCACTTGGACCCCTGGGCCCGCGAGCACGAACCCTGGTCGGGGGCCAGTCGGACGCCTGGAAGGGGGAACGAATTGGTTGCGATGGGGCAAGTTGATTTGGACCTCTAAATACAAATTCCCATTTTGTTTTTGGTGTCATTATTTCTGTAACTAATAAGGAATCAATCGGCCATTATGGAAATCATTTGGGGAGGCCTGTGTTCAGCAGTGGACGTCCTGAAGATCGAGGAATTTGCCTAAAATATATTTTTGTTGTGTGATAGGTAAATATGAAGCTAAAAGTTTATACTGAAAGCGGTGTGTGAGGTATCAAAGAAACAAACTCGTGTTATGAAGATCTGAAATTAAGTGAAGCAGCAAATCGAACGCACAGCGTTGAATAAAGCTTTTTGATTGGTTCGTATATCACCCTGTGCATCCACGCGCACTGTGAGACCTATAATGTTTGTGAATACGGGCGACAACTTTCGTAAGTATTCATCCCTTCAACTTTCTGGAGGACGAAGATACTGCACATACTATTTGACCTCAAAACAAAATTACTGTCTACACATTTTAATCTCCACGACCCCAAATCATTACACCCTAACTACCCAAGAGTTACCTTTTCCACAAGTCTTCTTCCTCATCTCACAGAGCGAAGGGTAGATGTATCCATCCGTGGCGCAGACCGGTTCTCCCTGCAGGGCTGGTCCGCAGATCCTGGGACATGACGCGTCGCGCGCGCCCTCGCACCATGATGACGCTGTGGACAAAGAAATAGGCATAAGGTTAAAATCGTACGAATAATGTTTTGCAATTTCTGGCTTCATACCTTAAGAACCGTACTTTTCATGTTGTTGTTAACGGCTTCAAATCGGGCAATAAAGATGTAACTTCAGGAGTTCCTCAGGGTTCCCATTTGGGCCCTATTCTCTTTAATATATTCATCAACGACGTTTCTATGTGTTTTCAGAACTCTACACCATTTTTATACGCAGACGATCTAAAATTTATAAAAGTTGTAACCTGTACGGATGATGTATCCATGATGCAACGTGACCTTAATGCCCTGGCTTATTGGTGCAACTCAAACGGCATGCTATTAAATTCTAAAAAATGTGTACACATAAAATTCACTAGAAATACAAAGATTATTCCATCTAAATACCACATTCAAGGCACAACTCTCAGCGAAGTGAAATCGCTAAAAGATCTGGGAGTAACGTTCGATTCAAAATTAACCTTTGTTGAGCACATCGACTGCATAGTTAGTAGGGCCAATAAAATGCTAGGGTTCATCATGCGTAACGGAAAGGTATTCCATAAGCCCTATACACGCATTAATCTCTACAATTGCCTTGTACGTAGCACTTTGGAATACTGCAGCGTTGTGTGGCGGCCTCATTATGCGGTTCACTCCTTACGAATAGAACGGGTACAGAAGAGATTTCTTTGGCATCTGTCAAGCTCNGCTTGTTCTAAGTCCGCCTGGCTAGCTACCACCATCTTACCTAAGTCTGTCGCCATAACAACAATGTTAACAGCATTGTTGTGTTCCGGCAGTTAGAGGTAAGATAGCCAGTTCCTCCGTGGTTGAGGATTCCGGGTGAAGCTTGCTTCCACCTTCGGCCTGATCATCACTTACCATCAGGTGAGATACAGGCCAAGAGCTTCCTCGTTGTGGATAAAAAAAAAAAAAAAAAAAAGTTAGTTTCAACTTAACTTCATGTATCCTTCGTATACCCACCTGCAAATCTCAACCTGCAGCATGCAGCGGTTCAGGTAGGTCCTCCCGTTGGTGCCGCAGACGGGGTCCCGCTCGGAGGTGCAGCGGTGCTCGCACTTGGACCCCTGGGCCCGCGAGCACGAACCCTGGTCGGGGGCCAGTCGGACGCCTGGAAGGGGGAACAAATGGGTTGAGATGGGGCAAATTGATTTGGACATCAAAACACAAATTCCTGTTTATTGTTTTTGGTGTCATCATTTTTGTAACTACCTAATAAGGAATCAATCGGCCATTATGGAAATCATTTGGGGAGGCCTGTATTCAGCAGTGGACGTCCCGAAGATCGAGGAATTTGCCTAAAATATATTTTTGTTGTGTGATCGGTAAATATGAAGCTAAAAGTTTATACTGAAAGCGGTGTGTGAGGTATCAAAGAAACAAACTCGTGTTACGAAGATCTGAAATTAAGTGAAGCAGCAAATCGAACGCACAGCGTTGAATAAAGCTTTTTGATTGGTTCGTGTGTCACCCTGTGCGTCCACGCGCACTGTGAGACCTATAATGTTTGTGAATACGGGCGACAACTTTCGTAAGTATTCATCCCTTCAACTTTCTGGAGGGCGAAGATACTGCACATACTATTTGACCTCAAAACACAAAATTACTGTCTTCACATTTTAATCTCCACGACCCCAAATCATTACACCCTAACTACCCAAGAGTTACCTTTTCCACAAGTCTTCTTCCTCATCTCACAGAGTGAAGGGTAGATGTATCCATCAGTAGCGCAGACCGGTTCTCCCTGCAGAGCTGGTCCGCAGATCCTGGGACATGACGCGTCGCGCGCGCCCTCGCACCATGATGACGCTGTGGACAAAGAAATAGGCATAAGGTTAAAAATCTAGTAGATGTAGTAATTGAGAACACCCTTTTTGACGTCGGTTAAAATAACCTTGAAAGTTGGAAAAGGGAAGTTGATGAAGAAGTGTGGTGTTTTGACAAATTCTTGCGCTGTACTGGGCCATCTATGCCCATCATCATCAACAGCCCCTTACAGTCCACTGTTGGACTATGAGCCTCCTCCACTATAGTTTGCCATAATCCCCACGCTTGGCAGGCGGGTTGGAGATCGCAGTTTAAAAGATTGATGTTTTTCAGTGAGCTCTGCTGCCCGTTTACTGTTTAATTTGTAGTCCCTAAGTCGCCTCTCGACACCCCTACTCTTCCCGCAGTCGACACCCGCGGGAAGAGTAGGGGTTGGTGACAAATGTATTCTACTCTGCCGTCACCACACGGCTCCTATGCCCAGATTATAATATTAACCTTAATACGAAATGATATTCAAAATATTGAATCGATGTTTAGACTGAATCTATTGTCTCCGTCGTTTTGTTATGTGATGGTTAAAACTGTGAGATACAGGCAGATAGATACTGTGAACTGTCTTACTTCCTACAAAGATTTTTAGAGCAAAATCTCTGTTACACGACACCAAGGGACTGTTGCCAGTTGCCACTAGTTATGAAAATAAAGTATTCTTCCTTTATAGGTATGATGAGTACTTACGAAAAAATAATTATGATAAATTGTACCTACCACAGCTGAATAAGCTGGTCAAAAAGTATACTCCCGTTTCATTTGATCCTGGATTTAATCCCTTCCATCTAACAAAATCTCGGACGATTTATACAAAGCCCAGACATCTACCACAATCCTCCACCCTTTCGCATCCTCCTCAAACTCTGTCGTATCACTCCGCGGTTTATCAGCTACAGCGACCTCTAATGGACTTTCGTGGTACTAACGAGTGCGGGCCTCGGGCTAGCCTCTAAAAAGAGGCCATGAAAATAGCGAATAGGTACTTTTATAAAAGAGTTTATTTTGGAATGGACAAAGTTTTAGAAACTGGTCAAAATTGAACTTAAATATAAAGTGACACTACACTGTCTTAGTTATTAAAATAAATAAGAGGTACCAAGATGCTTTAGATAAATACTTTTGTGTTTTAAGATGCTGCTAGATTAATTAATATCGTGTACTAGAAAAAAATGAGAACCTCCTCCTTTTATTGAGGTCGGTTAAATAGATTAAATAGTTGTGGAAAACCTTGGGGAGGCCTTAGTCCAGCAGTGGACGTCATTTGGCTGAAACGAACGGACGAACGAACGGTTAAATAGAGCTACAGAAGCACTATAAAAATCATAGTCATAATATCTTTATTGCTTCATGTGGTAAGCTTAATTTTAAAACTCATAAGAGAATTCAAAGTTTATGACGGACAACCCACAAAATAATTCAGACATAGAATGTATATTGTTTTAAATACCAGAAACGATGGAAAACCCCAAATTAAAATTAACTCATAACAGTAGATATTAATAGAATATTATCCAGATCCAATGCTTTGACAGATCTTTCCCAGCTAGATATCTACTATATAATACAGCTTGAGTGCCAATAAAAACCCAATCAATGACGTTGCAAAATGACTCAAAAACCGTAAAATCGCTGTATTGGTGGCCCCATAAGAACGTTCGCAGCGATACAGCGTTTTCTATGTTCTAAGATAGTGTATCCCCTTATTTGTCTGTTACCAACGTGAAAATGTATGAGGCTCCAAGCTGTTGCCATTCTTGGCCAGATGGCTGAGTCGCCTCGGGCAGACCCGGGTTCGGTGCCTTGTAGAGTCAATTTGAGAATTATTTTTTACTAGCTTTTGCCCGCGGCTTCACCCGCGTGAAATTTAGTTTGTCACAAATCGTCATAAATTATAACCTACATGTTATTCTGGGTTATAAACAATAATACTGTAAAGTTTCATCAAAATCCGTTCAGTTGTTTTTGCGTGAAAGAGTAACAAACATCCAGACATCCAAACTTTCGCATTTTTAATATTAGTAGGATTAGTAGGATAGGATGGATGACAAGGCATTTTTTATGGATGACAAGGCATTTTTTATGCATAACAAGGCAGGTATTAGACCGTAATCGCACCTGGATGCAGTCTAGGATGGTACATATCTGCCCTGTAACTGCCCACAATCTTGCCTTGACTGGTGCTGAGAGGTGGGAATAGTCCCGTAGATATCTTGTGACCTTCAGGACTATTCCCAGCGCTGCAACTCTAGTGTAGCCAGGATCTACAGCTTGACCGCCAATAAGAACAAACCAGTGAAGGTCAAGTTTGATCCGGGGGAAAGTTCACTGTCATTGGACCCGCAATGAAATTGATCAGAGGGTTGAGTGTTAGTTTAGGTTTCATATATTTTTTTAACGTCCTCACTAGTGAGCGCGTTAAAAAAACATATTAAAATTTTATTTCTTGAAAGTTTCCCTGTCAATAAATGTCACTTTTTTACGCGGTCGACATCGAATTTGTTTGACGTAAACTCACACTAGGCCCCCAGAAGAACATAGGAGTTTGAAGTTCTCTATCTTGTGACCTTCGTAAAATAGATCGCAATTGCATTCAACAATGCATCTGTGCCAGCAGGCCAGCAAATAGGATGTGACCCAAATAACTGCGGGGCCGCGAACGGAAGGTCCCTTATACTGACGTCTTAACAAATAGCTGGTAGTGTAGTTCAGTGGTTTGGTGAAGCGATGGTCTTCGGTTCGGTTCCCAAAAATCTTTGTGTAATTTGTAACTATGTACATTTTTTGGTCTTAGATTGGTTAGAGTTTTGCAACAGAGACTACTAGGGCACTATTTAAGTTGTGAGCCTCGACAACATAACGTGTTGTTAGACGACATCTGATACTTTTAATGAAAAGTTTGACATTTTTTACTACTACCTTATTCAAAACTTTTTATCATTTGAGCACGTTTTGTATTATTAACATTGAATTGAAAATTATCATGACTACAAAAACATGGTTTGACTTGCGGAAATTTTCGCGCGAAGATTTATTATGACTTTCGACGTGGTTAATCAATACAAAACTGCAGCGGTCAGCTAAATTTCACTTTTGGTGATAAAGATCTGTCCTTTACCATTGTAAAACGCTATTTTAAGAAGTATAATATTGTATGTCATTGGCTCACCAGTGAACTTTGCGAAAGTCGTCCAAAATGACTAATAGTGGCGAAAAACATTGATGTTGTCAGAAAAATGGAAGAGAAACCTCGTCATGTGATATATCGTATGATTGAGATAATTCTAGGCATTAATTCCACTAGCAGTAATAAAATATTGTATGACCATAATTATGGCTAATACGTTTTTTTCTCGCTGGATGTCACAAAATTTTTCAAACGCTAAATAGGACGCTTGTGTCGTTTAGTCCTTGGAAATGTTTGATAAATACGTTTAAGAAGCTTTAAAAGCCGTTTTTAAAATTGTGACAGTTGAAGAATTAAGGATCTATGCATAATGATCCTGAAAATAAACAGCTATCGACTATGGAGGTGTTTTAAGATGAACCAATTCCAAGGAATACTGCAGCGTTGTGTGGCGGCCTCATTATGCGGTTCACTCCTTACGAATAGAACGGGTACAGAAGAGATTTCTTTGGCATCTGTCAAGCTCCTTTGGTCTCACAAAAAAACTTAAATCTTATGCAGAAAGACTCATGCATTTCAAAATGCAAAACTAACCGTCCTGGGTAGGAGCTCCACAATTCCTCGTCTATGCAAGTTATTGAATGAGCACAGTGTGGCGGTGGATATATTCTTTGATAGCCGTCAACAGTTTAGAAAGGCAGTCATGGAGACTTTTGAACATGTTTGAATGAGTTGTAAATTGTAATGATTAACAGACTTTTTATTGTTTTCTTTTCTTTTCCTTTAAATACTTAGCAAACATTTAATATTATGTAAGCGGTGTTTACCTTAATATAGCTATACATTTACATTATTGAATTGTCAAAGTGTCTGTGCAAATATTGATGTAATAGTTGATGGTGAACCTAAATAAATAAATAAATAAATAAATTTATAGGTATGAGTACTTATACGAAAAAATAATTATGATAAATTCTACCTACCACAGCTGAATCTTTATGTATACGAAACCTTCGTTTTCCACAGTGGCCTCTCGAAGGGAACGCACATGTTTTATTTGGTCCTGGATTTAATCCCTTCCATCTAACAAAATCTCGGACGATTTATACAAAACCCAGACATCCTTCCACAATCCTTTACCCTTTCGCATCCTCCTCAAACTCTGCCGTATCACTCCGCGGTTTATCAGCTACAGCGACCTCTAATGGACTTTCGTGGTACTAACGAGTGCGGGCCTCGGGCTAGCCTCTAAAAAGAGGCCATGAAAATAGCGAATAGGTACTTTTATAAAAGAGTTTATTTTGGAATGGACAAAGTTTTAGCAACTGGTCAAAATTTTATTTATTTATTTATTTATATTAGGAAGACCAGGGTTTACATAATTGATTATTTTACCATTAATAACACTTGATAACCACTTATAGGTCCCCACAGATAGAATTGTGGTGGATATTTAAAGAAATTATAAAAAACAGATATCATTAAATGGTACACGATACACCTAATGTTGTATTGAAGAGATTAGCAATTTAACCATATTTGGACTTCCCGTTACCTTATATTTATAATAAAAAACACGATATAAAAAAAACCTACATGATAGGCTTGAAAACGCTCGCTCAGCAGCCGCCTAAGCGCTGGTATGCTAGTATAGAATAAATCAATATCTAGTTCCTCACTCAGTCTGTTTAATCTATCTTAACTGAAAGATAAAGTAAACCAACAAGTAATACTACACTATCTTAGTTATTAAATAAGAGGTACCAAGATGCTTTAGATAAATACTTTTGTGTTTTAAGATGCTGCTAGATTAATTAATATCGTGTACTAGAAAAAAAATGAGAACCTCCTCCTTTTATTGAGG